TGCTAAGTAAATTCTCTAAGCTCAAAAAAATCTATTGAAATTCCGAATAGGTTTTTTATAAGTACCTATACAAATTTTAGTGCGATTAATTATCACTTTGATAATTAAAAACTTACAAAATGCGTTTTTAAGAGGTGTATCTATCATTACATAACGGTCAAGTTTAACTTTCAGCACAAAAAAATCAAGTTAAAATAACACTGTTGGATTTCAAACTATGATTTCAATTTTTGTGGTTATGAGAATCTTATAATATAAACAATCGTTAGTTAAAAGGATTTTGATGGGATATTTTTTCAGCATTAAATCCCCGATTTAAGGGTGTGTTGTATATATATAGAAAAAAAAATTTTCCTTACCAGTTTTTATAATACCTGAGACCTAACAACAAATACGATACAAGAAACATTACTTTTTTATATGATTCATTTTGTCAAATCAAAGTTACCATCTATGGAATAATACTGTTTTACGGAATTTTGATCTAAATTCCATTTAGCTTTTCTAACTCCACCTTAATAAAAGAATGCTTTAACTGGAGATACTTCTGATATTATAATAGTTGTTATACAACTAGGGTTTTTGTAATTTATCCTAAAACTTAGATAAATAAAAACATTTATCTAAATATTTTCAACAGTTTGTTTCCCCATCGGCATGTTCATCAGGTAGCCTCTGAACTTGCTGAAAGAAAACAGACTGCAGATGATATTTTGATAAGTGTTTTTACTAAATTATTACATTCTCTGTTCTTTAAGAACATTTAGTAATCCATTTGATTTAATATTAATTTGCAATAATTTATTATTAATTTAGGGAAAAAAACCTATATTAAATTAGGGAAAAATTTAAAGCTTATAGTTAAATAACTATAATATTTTCCTTAATCAAAATTACTTTTTTTAAATTGTTTTTTCTAATTTTCATTAAAAAGAAATTTATTTTTAAAAAGTTTTACTTTCATTATGGTAATGAATGTTACACAATAATTTTTTTTGGACACAATCACAACTATGATTTTTCTAGAGATAAATTCTGCACGAAAAAATTCTCAAAATCATTTTTTACTGTATCACTGTTTGAAGCAAGTTAAACTGATTAGCTTCTAGCTAAAGGTGAAGCTGCAAATTCAATCGGCCGCAATTCGTTATCATCCATGTTAGTTTTTTATTTCCAAACTTTATAAATAAATTTTAAACAATTTAAAAAATAATTTAAAATGTAAAAAGAATGTTCCGGGTTGAATTTTATATTTTTTAAATTTGATTAAAGACCTTTTGCAACAACTGCCAATTTGCCTTTTTTTTTCTTTACCTTAGGTAAACCACCCAGTGCATGCCAATATTTTCAACCTATTCTCAATCATAAAAAAAAAAGATTTTAATAATTTTTGCAATATAGACCCTGCAGTTGATTATAAAATAAGTAATTCTCCCAACCAAGCTAATCAACTAGCATTTTTTAAAATTAAAAACATAACTTCATCCACTGAACATGAAATCGGCAAAAACTCTAACAGAGAGATTATGTGACATTATCTTGACTAAAAGTTTATTGTTTTCTTATGTTAATTGATCGAGCATTTATTGTATTCATTAAAAAATGGTTTATGAACCGATGCAAAAGCTTGTGAGATAAAGTGCATAAAAATTGGGTTTTTTCAATTAAAAAGATAATCGTTTTATCTTTCTAAGTTTCTTCCTAACTTTTTAAGTGTAGTTTTGTGTTATTTATTTTTTCATCTTAAATAAACCCATAACATAGTCAACTAATCTTAGTCAGGATTTTAAATCATCCTGGTTGGACTAAAATCAGCGTCTTATTTAACAATTATACTACATTGCATAAAATATATTTAAAAAACAAAATAATAATAAATTGAAACAGGTTGACTATAGAAATTGCTACACATCGTCAGGCGAGAAACAAGAGGCCGCATATCCACATTTTGTGTTTTTTCTGTTTATTATCAATAAATATTCAACAATCAATACAATATGTGTCCAATAAGTTTAGTCTCAAAAATGATGCAACTTTGAAAAATATTTAAAAAAGTCGGACATTCTGGCAGAAAGTCTTTACAAATTAAGTTTTAAAACTAGAGTTTCTGGGTAACACAAAAATAGACATACAGCCTTATGGTTCTCGGCAGACAACTAAGTTCCTGGTCCGGCCTGCAAACAATCTCTAGTATCTATCATCTAAACGCAGGTCTTGTATTAACGTTGATAAGTAATTGTAAAATGATCAAAGCAACGTCTAAGAATAAACCAAGATATTCAAGAAAACTGTTTTTTTTTTTCTTCTTATTACAATATCTGTTTCAAGTTCTTGCATGATGACTCTTAGTCCTAACATGAGAAGTCGTTGTTAATAAAAAGATTGTATCTAAATAGTTTAAATGTAAAAAGAATTTTCCGGGTAGAACTTTATATTTAAAAATTTGATTAAAGACCTTTTGCAACAACTGCCAATTTGCCTTTTTTTTTTTTTTTTTCAGTTAATTTAAATTACGATTTGAAATATTTCGAATACGTATTCGACTCGCAAAATATTTGTGACAAGCAATATTTTTTTTTAAATATAAATTTGTGACATTCTTACAATAACTTGTAAGTTAATGAAATAATTATGATTTAAAAGTAATTCTTATGAGCCAATGAAATAGCATTTATTTTAAAATAATTCTTAAAATGACTTCTGAACCAGTAAAAACTTGTATTTTTAAGTAACGCATTTTACTTTTTAAGTAAAATGCATTACTTTTTTTATTATTATTATTTTTTCAACTTAAATAATCTCGTAACATAAAAACTTTGCTTAGCTTTAAAACGGCTGGACTAAAAACAGTTTATTATTTAGACTCATTCTTTTGCATTAAAGTATATTCAAAAACTAAAATAATTATAAATTAAAATATGTTGACTCTAGTAAATGCTACACTTGCTATAATTTTGATCACCCCTGCAAACAATGTCTTATGTCTAACATTCAAAAGTTGTTCTTGTGTTAACGTTTGTAACAATAGTTAACTTTCAACTATAGTTGAAAAATTATCATAGCAATAAAAAAGTGTTCAAATTAACGTGTAAAATGTGGAGAACACGTTTGTTCTCTACATTCTCTAAATTATACACGTACGTGTAGATCTAATTTTAAAATTAACAACAATTTTTTTATCAACGTTCACATAAGATTTAAACAGAGCCATGCAGGCGGCGAGTCATCCGAGTTAATTGCTTTGGGCCTCGGTCCCGAGTATTTTGCTTGAGCACAATGTTAACTAAAAAAAAAAGCGCAATTGTTTTGCTCTAGAGCCACATGAATATGATAAGCATATCACGGAATCAACAGAAACAGAATCAGGAAAAAAGGCAATATATAGAGGAACGGATTTTTATCACATTTTTGATGCTGTGATTGGTGGACTCACTGCTCGCAGACATTCAAGAAATTTTTTCTTGATTTTAAAATTTATTTTTGTCTCTAAATTATACACGTACGTGTAGATCTAATTTTAAAATTAACAACAATTTTTTTATCAACGTTCAGATAAGATTTAAACAGAGCCGTGCAGACGGTGAGTCATCCAAGCTAATTGCTTGGGGCCCCGGCCCCGAGTTATTTGCTTGAGCAACAGTGGTTATGTGATTATAAATAAATAAGTGGGAATATTACAAACTCTTCAAAACAGAGATCAAGAGTGTCTGCTCCCATTTATCACATAAATATTCATGTGACGTGACTGAAAATAAACTGACTTAAGAATTGCTTCATATGAAACAAATTCATTCGGCAAACTTTGGAAAGAAATCTCTTGTCTCCTTTGGCTTTTTAACCGAAAGTAACTATTACATCTTTTAACTGATTTTAACATCGAAAAAACGGAAAATGTTTACTGGTTACATGATTACTTATGACAATAAGAAATAGATACATCTAAAAAAAAAATATCTAGATATGTTGGCTGTATAGTTCAATTTAGATTTGCAAATTTCTATCTTTAAAGCCTCAGAGTAGAAACTAATAGACATCATACTAATGCCTTAGTTATCTGTACTTCACTTTCCAAATGATTATAAACAATGATCAGAATATAAATCGAGAAACCATTTTTGAGTATTCTGGCTGCAGCTTTATAGAAATATTGACTATAAGTTTGAGGGGGACTAACTTTTAGATTTTATATCATAACCAGAGCAAGCAATCTTTCTTCTGATAATTAAATCTATCATTATATCTACTTTGGTTAGTTTTCCTTAATTTAAATATTTCATTTATTAATTAACTAATTAATACAAAGTTTTAGAAATCGTAATGAAATAAACAAGCAAATATAAAATAGAAATTTTATGAAAATCTAAACATTTGTAATCCGGGCTGGTAGAACACAGGCTTTAAAAAATTTTATTTTTATTTTCATACGTTTTAAGCTTCAAAACTAAGTTAAAACTAAAATTTAGTAAAATTCAAATTAAAAAAAAAACGTTCTTTTTGGTTAATAATAATAATAGTAATAATAATGATAATAAAAATAATAATAATAATAATAGTAATAAAGCGTCGCGTTTAATTTTAAGTTCTTTTAGAATTTACTAAAATTTAAATTAAAAAAAAATCATTCAAAACTCATTTAAAATTTAAATTTAGTAAAATTTAAATTAAAACTTTTGTTTGTATCCTCTAGAGTAATTGATTTCAAATTGTTAAATTTACAAAGTAAATTAAGTTTTGTTTACAAAAACGTTTTCTAAATGAATACTAATACTCTCACTTGAGACTTAATTCAAAAATATTTTTAAAGGTAGTAAAATTTTATAATTTGTTTATATTAAGATTTTTTAAAATTAGACTAACTATGCAATAATAACGCGTCGCGTTTGAAAAAAATAGAAAAGATTTAGTAAAAAAACGAAACTTTTTATTAAAATAAATATTACATTTATTTTAATTGAGACGATAAGTTTTTATAATTTAACTAACCATGCTTTCATTTTTAGGAGTGCAACCTTTTTCAGAAAATTTATTTTCACGCGAAAAACTACTTCATGAAATTCAACATTTTTTTTATGTAGCAAACAAGTCAACTTTAGTATTATATGGAATGTCGGGTGTTGGAAAGACACAAATAGCAAGAATGTTTTGCAAAATTTATTATAACTTCTACAAAAACTTTGTTTGGATTGACGCAGCATTTGGAAAGTTACAAACCTCAATGAGAAACCAATGCCAAATATTAGGATTCGATGTTCATGATTCGAAAGGTGATTATTTAAATATGGAAGTGATTGTTGAAAAACTTCACAATTATTATAAAAATGAAAAGACTTTGTATATTTTTGACAATGTTGACGATGAAAGTGTTAAAAACCTGACCATATACATTTCAAAAAAACCGGATTCATTTACGTTGATTACCTCACAATGGAGAACGTGGTCGAATAATGTAAATAAAATGCTAGTCGATGTTTTTACTTCAGAAGAAGCATTCGCTTATGTCAAAAATAATATTAAAGAAAACCCCGATGAAAACATAAAAAACTTAATAAAAGAACTTGGTTATCATCCGTTCGCTATTACTCAGGCAATAAAATATATAAATATACAGAGAATTTCGATAGAAAAATACGTAGAACGATATAGATCAAAACCATCAGAAATAATAGACAATAACTTTCAAACCGAAGAAGAACCAAAGTCTGCAATTAAAGCAATTAACTTAGTTTTAATGAAATTAGAAATAAGTAAACCTTTTCCATTTAAACTATTAAACTGTTTATCTCATTGCGACGGTAAAAACATAAGTAAAGAGTTTATAATCCAAATTTCAAAACAAATGGAAATAAACGAAGAATATGTAATAGATGAAGCCGTTGGGTTACTAATGAGTTATTCTTTACTAAACTGTTTTGATGATGAAAAATATTCAATGCACGAACTGACACAGCTGACGTGTAGATGTTTTCAAAATAGAAATTCAACTACAAATACGTAT